CACTGCCAGGGAGCTGTCGGGCACACAGCCCAGCTGGATGTAGTCACTGCACTCCACGGGCTGCTCCAGCTCCACCAGGGCGATGTTGTTGGTGGCCGTGGCGGCCACGTAGCCGTGGTGCACCAGGATCCGCTTGACCTGGAACACCTCGGCCTCGGGGCCCGGCTCAGCCAGGTCTGTGGCCCCGATCACCACCTTCCACTCTTGGACAGCCCTGGGGGACATGGAGAGTGACAGGGAGCAGAGCCAGGGGCTGGGACAGCCCAGCCATTCCCAGCCATTCCCAGGCCTCTGCTTCCCACAGCAGGCAGGGGAGGCAGCCATGGAGCAGCACACGGTGGTGCAGGCTGGGCACCTGACCCTGCTGTGGGGACATCCCTGTCCCTGCTTTGGGGACATCCCTGTCTCTGCCATTGGGGTATCTCTGAGCCTTCTGTGGGGACATCCCTGTCCCTGCTTTGGGGACATCCCTATCCCTGCTGGGGTCCAATCTCTCTCCCTGTTAGGGTCCCATCCCTGCCCTTGACATGGGGACATCCCTGCCCCTGTTGTGGGCACATTCCTAACCTTGCTGAGGGCACAACCCTGTTCCTGCTGTGGGGTCCCAACCCTGTCCCTTGGGGTCCCACCCCTGTCCCTGCTGGGTCCCATCCCTGCCCCTGTAGGGTCTCATCCCTGACCCTATTGTGGTCCCACCCCTGTCCCTGTTGGGTCCCACCCCTGTCCCTGTTGGGGTCCCACCCCTGTCCCCTCTCCTCCTTACCCAGCCCCACTGAAGCAGCTGGCAGCTGTGAGGACCCAGCAGTGGCTGATGAGTGCCCCCGAGCACATGTGCCACGTGCCATTCTCCATGGTCACCTGGACGCTGGCGATGCCAGGCCAGGCCCCTGGAGGGACATCGAGGTTTGTCCCTCCTTTGGCAGAATCCGAGGATCCATATTCGGGCACGGTGGAGCTCTCGTTCAACACCATGGGCCGGAGCCCGCAGGTGCCTCTGCAAGCACAAAGCCATCACTGCCCTGCTCGGGGACAGCAGCGACAGCCACCCCCCAGCGGCTCCTC